TCTCTCTCTCTCTCTCTCTCTCTCTCTCTCTCTCTCTCTCTCTTTCTCTCTCTCTCTCTTTTTCTGTCTCCTTTTTTTATTATCAAATCAGTGATATGCCGATCGTGAGAGAGCCAGATGTGTTCTTCGTGGCACACTATACCGGTTGCAGTAACCGAGACGAATACGCGATGGCGCGTATTTGCATTGGCCAAGGTAACTGCCGCTATTTCGTTGCGTAACTTGGCAGATTACGAGAAACGACAGGTTCCTTGCGGTGACGCGCGATTTTACGCGATTTCGTCCTCGATCGACGAACGACTCTTGCTCTTTGTCCCTCGATCCGGACGAGCCTCGCCTAGGGATAATCGAGCGTTCTATCTCGCTCTCGATCTCAATTTTCTCTCCCGCACCGCAGCTTTGCGTAATACGGAGATGACTATTTTATGTATGATCGAACATCATGTGCGATGGAAGAGTCGAGAGAAAGCAAAGAGAAGCTGTAACATACTCAGGCACTCGAGTTGAAATACGCTCGTGCTTCATGCGCACGTTTACGACCTGCAGGACGATGCAAAACGTGTCTGTCTGCTGTGCGTGCGTGCGTACGTGCGTGCGTGCGTGCGTGCGTGCGTGCGTGCGTGCGTGCACGTACACCCGAGTTGGCGGCAGGGTTTAATATAGCCGCGTGTCGCGCTGCCTCACGACGCCTAGCGTTCACCTCGCAGACCGAAAGTGGAGCCCGACGAGACCGAGAGTTCTTCCTCCTCTTCTCGGAAGCAAGAGTCAGTCGTGAAAAATGGTGGTACACGCCGCGTCAGCAACCGGACTTCGAGTTTCCTCGCTCAGCGTCTCTCGAATGCGAGAGATATGTCAGCTCGTTAAACGATCCATTGCTCTTGGCGCGCATTTGTTTACGTTTCCTCGCTTTGATTAAACGTGTTCGTGTTATCCGATGGCTCTGATTATTTGCACGAAACCCCGTAAGATTAGCGCTTCCCCGCTTTCCAATCTCGTTGCTGAATGAATCCTTCGTCAAACACACACATCTCGAGAGATTTGGGAATTTCGGCCCGAGAGAAACGGAATCCGATATCGATTACGTTTTGAAATTCTGAAAATAGAACCGGCCAACCGGCGCACATGGCGGAGAGGACGATCCTCGATATCGAATTCGAAGGAGATCCTCGAGTGCGATTTAAGGCGGGAGCGAACGGTTCGAACGAAAAATTCCATCGCGCGGTCGAGCTTTGTGAGGTCAGTGTGTTTTCGCATATCTTTGAATCTTATTACATCTAGAGTGTCCGGTTGCGAGGCAATAATCGTGAAATGGAAGCGTGTCGTCCGCGTGATACGTTTTCAGAAATCGAAGAACGTGGGTAGGTCTCACGATTGGTAACCGCCTACGTAGTCGGTAGCTATACGGTTACATTCGTGACGACCGCTAATCTGACGGCTATTAACGATCACATATAACAACAGAGAGAGAGAGAGAGAGAGAGAGAGAGAGAGAGAGAGAACAAAGAA